GAAAAGGCTAATATGATCCTTCGCTTCCAGGGCTTGCCAGAGACAAAGGGAGAGAATCTTAAGGAACTAATGAGTGAAGTATTTGCCCCAGTGACAGATATGAAGGCGGAATTCCTGTTAAACGAAATGGATGTGGCCTATAGGTCATATTCAGGATATATAAAGAAAAACAATCTGCCTGGGGAAATTGTGGTAAGATTCTCGAAGAGGCATGTGAGGGATACAATCCTGAAAGCAGTATCTGGAGCACCCCTGAAAGTGGGGGAGAATACCATCAGGACGTTAAAAGACATTCCATTTGAAATAAGACAAAGAAGAAAGAAATATAAAGAATTAATTCTTTTTCTACAGACAAATGCAATTGGATATAGATGGTTAACTCCAGAAGGCGTAACCTTCAAAATCAAGGATAAAAAAGAAAAGATTGACTCTGTCCAGAAAGCACGGGAATTTTTAAGAGTCCAGATGGAAGGGCCAGGGAAGGAAGGAGAAAAAGGGGAGGACAGTAAGTCCAATGGTGAGCTGGACTCGGAATCCTCCGGGGAGGACTCAGAGAAAGGAGCGGCAGCCCCTAAAAGTCCTTATAAGCTTCGGAAGAGACTAGGCAAGGAGAAGTAAAGGCTGAAGGACTCTGAATTGTGCCTTTAAAACATTTTGAAGTGAGATGCTTTGGGGTGTTTCTGTATGACAGTTAAATTTAAGATTTGAAAAAGATAATGTTAAACTTGACTCAGTTGATAGTAAGATTAATGGAATTAAGACTAAATGGATGGTTAAACTGGTGGGATGATCTCCTCTCTTGGGTTTTTAGTCAGTAGTGGGTATCTTTCTTTATCCTATAAATGTAGTTCCCCCTCCCATTTTCTGTTGTAGTTTGTAGTGTTATAAAACAATGCAATAAAAAATCCCCTGGGGGGGGGCTTAAAAAAACAACAACAGAATGGGGAGTTTCCCTGATAAGGTGTGATATCTAACACAGTTCTTGGCTCTCAACAGACATCCTGGTGCCTGATGCCTGACAATACAAAGGAAGATGCTGTTTGGGAACATGACCAGGCCTCTGAGATGTTTTTCTTATGCATAGTATTGGGCCATAAACGCCCTTCAGAGCAGTTGAACTACAAAGGCAGATGCAGTTAGCCAGAATGGGTTTCGTTTTCAGGCACATTCCATTCTCCTGTTTTCCTGAGCAAGCGTAAGGCTTTTTGGCACAGACAGTGTTACTTTAAAATCCTATCTAAAGTTTCTACAAAATGACAAGCCACCTTCTTCCATTCTTCTATCAAACTAGATTCATTCATTACAAAATCAATATATAGCAACTACTTGTATGTGTGCATATCAAACTCTAAAGCATAAAAGCATAAAAGATAATATGGAAAAGTCAGATTCATTGATCCCTTGTCCCACACTTCAAAGGAACAATTTTCATAATGAGCACAAAATAACATGCTTGTGTATTTTTAAATAGAAAAGTAGTTCATGCATAGTAAAATCAAACAATTATTAGCCTATGTTTGCAGAATTTGACACATTTGGTCTGAATGCCTTATTTTAAAGGAGGAATCACTCACTGTTTACATGGCTGTACTTTCAAGTGGTACAACTATTTCAAGTGGTACATTAATTCATCTTTTAATATTGTACAGTGAGTGTGTGACAACTATTTTAAGTGGTACATTAATTCATCTTTTAATATTTTGCATGAAAAATATTGGAAGAGGCATTTAAGAAAGGAAAAAGAATCTGGCATTTCAGACATTTTCCAATATTGTCTGCTAGAAAACATACCCTGGGGAAAAATAAATAACTACATTGTTTTATTCATTTCTTTTTGAGGAAGCATGTTAAAAGAATGTATTTCCACAACCAGATCCCTACAAATATTCCTAACGCACCACAAAGATTTCTGCATTGGGCTTGCAAACCTCTGGGAGATTCAGATGATGCGTCCAGTAGGTTTCTGTTAGGTTCCTTTCCAATTTCTTGTCCTGTTTCTACCTTTTTAATTTTTATTTCTGTTTTTTCCTCTTTAATTTGTATTTCTTCCTTAGTCATTTCTGCGCCAGGCTGGTCTGTTTCCATTTCTGTAGACACATGTAGAGAAAGATTAAAAACCAGGCTTAGCATACATTGTAATTAGGTGCATTAGTATTAATGCAGTATACAATCTACAATGATACAAAATATGAAAAGTAGCATGTCAAGGTTAAGCTAGAGAGGGGAAAGTTGGAGGTGATAGGTTTGCCTGGGCTACCACTTGATAGTACAGCTTGAAATCCACAAGCTGGATGTGGGGGCAGCCAATAGTGCGCCCTGCTATTTACATGCATCAGTTCTACAGTTTAGCATCTTAAAACCAGAAAAATCTAAATTATATAAACCAGAAAAATCTAAATCTATAATTAGCTTTCAAATACAGATACACAGAAGCATGTGGTTAGCCTCCTCCTGAAAGGCATGTTACACCATTAAGAATTGCTGTGGTTCTAATTCTTATCACCAAAACAAAAGATTATTATTAACACAGCCTCAGAAGTATTCAGAAAAGTAACTTTTGCTCAAGCACAGGTTTGGATACCGGAAGCAATTCCTGAGAACATCAACATTTGTTCACCTTTACTGGACTGAGCAAAGGGAAAATTTAGAGAATAGTGTTACATTCCCTAAGGCTAGATTCAGGTGTGTAACCCTGTCGGTCTCAAGCAACATGACAAAATTTGAGTCCAGTGGCACCTTTAAAACCAACAAAGTTTAATCCTTGGTATAAGCTTTCGTGTGTATCTGAAATAGTATGCATGCACATGAAAGCTTATACCCAGAATTAAACTTTGTTGGTCTTAAAAGTGCTACTGGACTCAAACATTGTTGCTTTCCCTAACAGGTGAGAGGCTACAAGACCAGCCCTTACCTGGGTTGGTTCCCTCTGGAAAAGAGACCTGTGCTGTTTTTGTAGTATTTGCTTTATTTACTGCTACTCCACGTCAAATCTCCAGAGAGATCCAGCACCTCCACAGCACTGTCTTATTCTCTGACTTTGCTAGAATCTAAACCTGCTACTTCATCACATACAGAAATGCCTTTGTCCCCTCTATTCAGCTGGAAGCACAGGCATGTCCATGATAGGAAATGACTTGCTCCAGACAGCCTAATACTGAAGACTCAGTGAAGTAATAGTTACAATCATTAAGAAAAATGACAATTCCTTTCCCCAAGGCATTTCACTTCATGACAGGCACACAGGACATAATCATTTACAGGAAATGTACTTATCATTTAGGCTATCGAGAGCCCAGATCTGTAAACTTGCATCAAGGCAACAAATCTTACATGTGACACTTGAATTTTAGTTAAAAGGATATGTTTCTGAAAAAACTTTGATGTTCGGTATTCCTTCAATACTCAGCAAGATGGGATGGACATTGACTCCCATTATTATTGCAGAGAAGACTTTTCTCAGAAATATGTTAGCCTTATTGCTAATCTTAAATCCAGTGGCACCTTTAAGACCAACAAATTTTAATTTTGTTCTATAAACTTTGTTCTATTACTTCAGGCCAGCTTGGCTACCTACCTGAATCTTATTGTTAATTTGGTAGCCTACCACTTTCAAGTGACTATCCACAGACTGTGGCATGGCTGTGTGGCATATTTTATTTGAAAACGTAAATGCTACAAGAGAACATCCAGGCTTAGATGTACCATTACCTCAGGGCAAACAGGTTCCCAAGAGCTATAAGAAGAAGCTAAATTTGCCAGACAAAAGGGACAGTTGTTAGGGGAGATCAACAATAGAAAAGAAGATCTACAATTAACAGTTCTGGTTGCTGTAGGAGAATATTTGCATAAGGGGACTTGCTGGTATATTGCTAAGGAAATAGCTCTTCCCTTTAGTAGAGAGAGAAGGTTTTTATTGTATTTAGCCATAGGCCATTACAAACCACAAACAGAGAAGAATGCAATAAAACATAGAAAATTGTATAAAATAAGACACAGTCTAAAACATTATAAATCCATAAAACCGAGGTTATAAACAGTTAATTAATTCACAACATACCCACTAAAATCAGTATTAGCTAGGAACAGCGTTGGCCCGTATTTTCCTTGCAGCCAAGGCAAATAGAGCTGTTCTATTGGATACATCAGCATTGGCATCAGCTAGCAAAAATATAGTGGTATACAAGGCTGAGAAAAGATAGGAGAGGGGAAACAAAGGAAACGTTTCTGCAAATGGTTCTGCACTTCAGTGAAGGTGGAGCCGGGAGGAATCAGTAACAGGAACCATGCCTAAGGCTGCATATCATAATGGAAGTTGCATATAATAAGAAGTGTCCATGCACACGAAAGCTTATACCTTGAATAAAACTTTGACGATCTTAAAGGTGCCACTGGACTCAAATTTTGTTCTATTATTTCACATCATTTCGGAGGGTGGCTGTGTTGGTTTGCAGTAGAACAACTAGGGACAAGGGGAGCTCTGACTCTCAAAAGCCTTTATACCCCCCCAAAAAAATTCTTGTTGGTCTCTAAGATGCTACTGGACTCATGTCTAATTATTTCAGACAATGGCTGTCATGCCCCTAAAAGTAGTGTGTACATCCCAGTGCCCTGACCAGGCTAGCCCAATCTCATCAAATCTCAGAAGCTAAGTAGGGCTGGCCCTGGCCGGCATTTGGATGGAAGACCTCCGAAGAATACTAGGGTCATGATGTGGAGGCAGGCAATAGCAAACCACCTCTGAACTAGGGTTGCCAGCCTCCAGGTGGGGCCTGGAGATCTCCTGCTTTTACAACTGATTCCCAGCTGACAGAGAACAACTAGGGACAAGGGGAGCTCCTGCTTTTACACCTGACCTCCAGCTGACAGAGATCAGCTCCCCTGGAGAAAATGGCTGCTTTGAAGGGTGGACTCTGTGGCATTGTACCATGCTGACGTCCCTCCCCTCCCCAACCCCTCCTCTCTCTCCCGGATCCACCCCCAAAGTATCCAGGTATTTCCCAACCCAGAGCTGGTAACCATACTCTGAACGTCTCTTGCCTTGAAAACCCTATGGAGTCACCATAAGTCAGCTGTGACTCGATGGCACTTTCAGTCACCACCTATGCCAGTAGTGTGTACATGAAGACTATAGCTTTGTATCAGTGTAACACACTCCAGATGTCTCACCATTGATAAAACAGCAGGATCACATGTTTTCTCTCTGCATTTTCTCTCTGTCTTCACTCCCATATACCATGGCTTTCCATCTGCACCAGCCTTACTCAAGTGATAGCTAACTATTTGTTATTCCTTTAATTCCCACTCCCTTTCTAATTGATCCCAAGGGGCCAATAGCATCATCAATTCCATAAACTCAGGAAGAATCAAATGTGCTCAGTTTTCTTTTCAAAACTGGGACTAGAGAAGAAAGGGCACCAGACTGACCTCTCTGAAACAGGAAGTGTTTCACAGGAAGTGCATGTGGCGTCCTCTTATTTGGGAGGACTGGTTTTCACTTTAAATGTGCTCTTTGCTTTTGTAAACTGGGTAGTTTCTGCTGCCACCAGGAATTTAAGGAATTCCAAACCTTCTCTCCTTTGCTGTTGGTAAAGTGACCTAGAGGTCTCTGTGGCCCTGAGGAAGGATTGAACTGGATTCTGGGTTAAACTTAAACAAAATATGATTTATTGATTTAGGAACAAAAAGGAGTTGCTGGTTAACTGTAACTGTTATGGGGAAGAGAAACTGGTAAAAGAAACTGGCAAGGTATCACACACAGTCTTTTGATCATAAGATCCCTCTCTGACAAGAATCACTCTTTCACTAGGCAGTCACATGGGCAAAGCTCTTTGTATTAATTCTCTTTATAACTTTGGAGTCTCACAGACCCTTCTCATAGCTCTTTCACATTTAACTCTTAAAGCTGTATATACTGAACTCTAAACTCTTTAATTTTCCACACACTCTGTCAGCTCACTCACTGACTCTGACTCCAACTCAAAACTCCAACTGATTTCTCTAACTGACTTTTCATAACTCTTCAACACACACAGAGAGATTCTTTTCAAAAACTCCTCCCACACTCTCTCACCCTCCAATCACACCACACTTGTCTCCCTCAATCACTCTACTCTGCTATCACTGCACGCCAATCAAACATTTAAAGAGACACACACACTCTTAAAACAAGGAATCATTACAGTGCACTTTTATGCTGGCTTAATACCCTTGACTGATCTTCAGTACCATTTTTGCCACTTGGGCTGGCATGATTAAAGAACAAGAGATTTATGCCTTATTTTAGTTAACAATAGGGTGATTTTATGAAGCCTGATTCCAAACCATACTGCTACTTTTGCACCTATTCTTACCTGAGAAATAATGTTGGAAGGTATGGGGAAAAACTCCCTCTTTCCTGATACCCTCGATGTGAACAACAATGCAGACTTCAGGCCCTAAACTAGAAGAATCCCAGTTCATCTCTCTCCTATCTACTCATAGGTACATTTATATATTTTGCACCTTGGCATTTTGTGGGGCAAGGGGTAGAGTTGGTAGTCTTTTGCCAGAGATTCCATTGCCAAAAGTAACTGGCAAAATTTCATGATCCTGGCCAGTTGCCAGGAAAAACAGTATGTAAGGCTAAAAGTGTATGTGTGTTTAATGTATTTCTGTTTTATTCAGTCATGTGCCATAAGCAGAAAACAGAAAATATCACAGACATGTAAAAAATTCAAACAATATGAAACACTTTAGAAGTGTGCAGACTTACAATTGACATAAAATCATCAATGAAAGGTTTCTTAAATAATAAATAATAAAATAATTAATAATAAAGAAGTCTCTGTTGATCTTTGCCCATTTTGAATACTCCATCAATTTCACCATTTCCACTACCTTCTAATAATCAGTAATAAGCCATTATTTGATGGGGTATGGATATTAATTCCTTGTTCTTTGAATTTTGATGACAGTACAAATGTTCCATACAGTATTATCATAACAGTTAATACTATCATGACTTAGATAACAAAGTACAATTACAAATAGTTTCTAAGGTATTGAATAATCATCTAACAGCTGGATTGTGTACAGAATTGTATTTACATCACACACATTATTTTAAAAATGTTATCAGAGGGTGGATATTCTGCACAAGCTCAGGGAACCTAGGGTAGATTTATTTTAAAAACTCTTGCTTGTCTATTGCAGGAACAAGAAAGGCACACATTCCAGTTAATTCTATTCTTATGTTCTTTTTTTAAAATATAGATGCTGGTTCTATTTAGAAAATAAATACTCTGTGCATGTTCAGAGACACTATTCTGCAAACTCAACTAAAAATCCTAACCCACCACCCACCCCTAAATGAGAAGTCTTTCTGCACATGCTCAGAGACATTCAGCTTGAGGTATTAAAGCTATTTACCAAAAAATAGACAATCCTAATATACACAGCTGACTGGCCCATATCAAGCCATAGTAATTTTGCTCACAAGTAAAATCTGTGGCCATATTGTAAATGTGGAGGAGAAAGAGTATGCTTGAAAATGCACCACCAAGCATCTTTCTCTCAGTAGAGAGGACAGAGCAGGGAAGATTTCCCTCACAATCTTATTTTGGGGCAACTCTATATAATGATTTGTCCACAAAGACAGGAAGTTATTTTTCATTTCATAGTTGCCCCCAAATGAAGTCTAACCTTACAGGGTCAGACTTTGGTTTTTTTTATTCTGCCAAAAAAACCCTTTCCCTCTCATCATCAGCTTTATAGGCTTACCTCTGGGTGATCTTGGTCTAGTCACACACAAACTAACCTACCTTCAAAGGTTTATTGTGAGGAGATCATGTAAGCCTATTTGAGTCCCCACTGGGAAGGAAGGAAGGAAGGAAGCCTGTTTGAGTCCCCCACTCATTTACTTAAGCAAATAAATAAATTGCTTTTGGGGGAGGGGGTTTATCTCCCCCCTTCTCATCAACAGTTGAGAAGTCACTACTTAGTATTTGACCCAGGTCAGTAATCACCAAACTGTGATTCAGGATACACTTACACAGCGCATCTTATATAGTTATACCCCAGTCTAAGCCATTTGGAAAATATTTGACAGGGAGATCTAATTAATTAAAGCATCCACCCAACCCATGCTCCCCTTCCAATAAGCTTCCACCACTTAATTTTGCCACATCTGGGCATAACTGGAGCATTCAGTCTCTCCCAAAACAGAGACGCTCCAGAATTACCCCTCAAAAGGAGGCTGTCCATTGTTTCTCTGGAAGCCACACAATTCTCACTCCCCCAATCAGTACAGGTACCCAGATTATTTGGAGACTTTGTGAAAAAGGCAGACCATAAATGAAGTGATTAAAAAGTGACACAGTCATTCTTTATTTTCACACACCCTAACAGTAAAACTTTTTTGGGGGGTGTAAAGTGTGCCTCCAATTTTAATTCACCCCCCCAAAAAAGAAAAAGATAAGGTGTGCCTCATCTATATATCTAGGAAACACTGACCTAGACACGTAACGTGTGTATGTGATTAAACTCTTCCCTAAAACCAGCAGAATTAGGAAGAGAGCCGGAACAAACACAGTTTCCAGCCAAGCCCAAATCTCACACACTGGACAATTCCTGATTGCCCTCCCGTCGGTCCTTACTAAGCTCATCAGTTTCCTCCTCCTCTTCTTCCTCATCCACATGTCCATGCTCGCGGGACAGCAGCTGTAACCCCACTTTCTCGGCCGCCATCTTCCTTACATGTAAACGAAAATAAGCGAAGGGGGAAACGACCCTACTCCGAGAAAAGAGGGCGCCGCTCCAACGAATCCTTCTCTCTGGAGAGTCTTAACAGTCGCGCAATGTAGGAGTGTAGCTGTCGCCCGTGTAACGCCACTGGAAATTTAAAACTACATTACCCAAGATGCAAGGAAAGGAAACCTCCGCTGAATATACCCAGAATTCAGCGCGAAGAGGCAAATTTGGGCTTCATATGGGTGACGGTGAGACAAGAATGTCTTCTCCCAGAATGCTCCGCAGCATAAACGTAACAAAAAGAGCGTAATGAGAAGGGATGCGGTCTCTGACATACATAGAGATTAAGAAAACAACCTCTACAGCAAGGCATATAGGACATGAATATAGTTCTGAGCCGTTCCTTTCTCGACAGCAAGTGAGGTGGGAAATCTGGGTAAGGGCTGTGTTTTTAAAAACTACAGTCCCCAGCATACACTGGGACACAACAAATCCGCCCAGAACGGTACGGAGTAACGACTAAGCAATAGGTTCTCGAAGGAGGTTGTATGAACTGGGTTAAGGCGCCGCGCAGGAGAAGGTCAGTGGTGGGGGGGGTTTTCTTTTCTTTTTGCTTGGGTGGGGCTCTGAGAGAGGATGGGGGTGGCGGGGCTTGGGTCGTTAGGTTGTTTACGGCGTTTAGGTGGTGTCTGCTCCCAGAGAAGTACTTCTGAGAGGAGTTTTTGCAACTTTGTAGAGAGGTGTCTCTCAGGAACTTCGACGGACCCCCTCCTTGAGAAAGGCAACAGGATTTCATGGCTGTGTCGTAAGAAAAAAACCGACATAGCGCAGGGCAACAAAAAGCCCTCCTAAACAGTTCCCCCCTTACCCAGTTTCCTGAAAGGAAAGTAGAGATGGAGTCGCCTGCCTCTCTAGTAGGCAAAGGGGCAGTGGTGCTTCTACCGAAAATGTCCTGTCTGTCAGTGAGAGGGGCAAAAAGAAGGGGATGTACGAAAAGGAAGGACAGGATTGCCCATTGGAAACAATGGGAGACACTGGAAGGCCCATTGGAAATAATGGGAGCCAGGAATG